GGGGAGAGGGTGGTTATAAAAGTTCTTAGAGGAGTGAGAATAAAGCTAGACCAATGAAAATGTAAACGACTGTAGGAGAAGGCCAATTAGCAGCTATGGGTATGTGTAATACTCTGGGTCCAGCCTACTAGCCTACCATGATAGCTGTGAGAATAAAAAGATCACACAGAAAAAAAAAAAAAAAAAAGAAATGTCAACACTCATTTCTAATTCACTGGTTGTACATTGAGCAAAGTAGAAGTAATCAGAATGTAATATGAAATGAAGGTTTCAAGTCTGAGGGAAAAAACAAGCAATGAGAAATGTAACCCCGTTTTGGGTTAAGACTCAATGATTTCAATTGGTCAAGTACCCAAGTAGAAATTGGGAGAGACGTTAAAGTGGGAGACACAAACTTCCTTAAATCTTCCATTTTCACTAGTATTAAATCAGAGCTCCCAACTGTGTCCAAGTATGCCAGAATTATAACTGTAATCTTGCCCATAGGTTTCTATAACATTCTTTGAAACTAGCCAAATTTGTATTCAAAACCACTGAGAAAAGAATTACATTCTCACTGCAAAACAGATATTTGCATTCAAGTAAAAGTAAAAGATAACATGAGAAGGCACCTCCTTGTGACAAATAAGATGGAGCGGGAGGACCCTCACAGAAAGTTTTCTCTATACTTTCTTCTCCCTCTGAAGAAAATGCCAGTCCCTAACTGTCTAGATAGATTTTCTGCATCATTTCACATACGTACTTTTCCCAGAAACAGTCACCAAAAAAAACATGCCCCCTGATGCTTATCTTCAAGTTTTACCTGAAGCACATTTTTACAGCCAATTTTCAAATTCCTAAAATCAAATGGAAATACTGATATGATCATAGATGGAAACTCTAATCTGACTAATACAAGTATTTTGTAAGGGTCAGTTTTAGCACATAATCTACACAAGTATCTACTGGCCTTACGTCATTCTTCTTAAGTTAACTCAGATTCACATTATCTACATTTAAAAGTATTATTTCCCTTCTTACAGAGTTAATCAGTCTTTAGCATTAACTTGCTTTTCAGGAAGGATTCTTATTTGGGCTTAAGAAATTACATGTTGACACATTAACGTTGGTGGGGTTTTTAAAAATATGTTCGTATTTGGCCCACAATTTATTTGCTTATCTCCCATTCTCAAATACTTATCCTAATAAAAGGGACAAGGTAAACTGTATAACACAACACCAGAAATGACCTTTTGTATCTAGCTAAGGGAGAGTAGCTGATTAGCTTTGAGTAAAGACACACTGACTTTACAATGTCTGGCCCAATCTCCTGAGCCAGGCTATTTTGGGTATCCAAGTACTTGTCTGACTGTGTAAGGTGAAGACTCCACATTACTAACATAATTCACTAATAGAAAACCAAGATACATCTTAATATAAAATAATATACCACCAAGGATTCCAAACACAATCCACTTATTTTTTAAAAAAATTATTTAATCTGACTGACTTCATTTGAAGGTTTGTTTCACTTCAGGTCAGAGCCACTGAGACATTGGAGATCTGTGTGACTGTCATATTACAAAGCAACTGAATCATGATCCCTATTATTTTCCCATGATATACTTCTGATGTGTTTTTATGTGCTTAATATATGAGAAAACTCCCCATATGTTTCTAAGGGCACCAAAATCTAGTCAACAGGTATCATTCATTTAAACATTTTATAAATCCAGAAAAGATTTTCCAAAGTGCTCATCTGGTTGTCTGAAATGCAAAGCCTTATCTACAATAACTACATGCCTTTCAAGGGAACATGGGAAACAAGCCTTTGAAACATCCTTAGTTTCTAACATCCTTAGAAACAAGAAGGTAAATATGCCAACTGGAACTAATTGATTAAATTCACTAGTTAACACTGCTTTCAAAATGCATAATATCTGGGAACTGAATATTACTCATCCTTTTTTAGATTTGCTTTTCTTCAGTCTGGCCGACATTGCCCTCAAAATATCAACTAAGAAGAGATACGTGGAAATGGGGAAGAAAAAATATATGTACTTTACTGGGGTTATCTACCCTAGACTTTTTTTTTATTAGAACTCATTTGATATCTTTTGTGAAGCAAAAAATATGGATGTCAAGGGCCCCTTTAAATGATCTTTTAGGGAAATAAATGGTTGTGGGCAATATTGATGAGGGTTTCCTTACAATAGAGCACCAACTTTGAGCTGTGAAATATGAGAAAGCATTCAACATATAAATAAAACATCTCTTGCCTCCTTCCTAAGTATGACAGAGCTCAAATTTATTTTATACTCCAAATTAATGGAAGGCAGGAAACAAACATATTTAAAGCACACCCTATGAAAAAAAAGTTCTACAGTGAACTATCACCACATGCAAAAAGAGTTCTGTATAACAAAGCTATTTCCATGTCCCCAGGGGGTGACCCAGAAAAAAGGAGTGCTTTGACCTGGTTATAACAAATTCTCTCTCTCTTGGTAACCTATCCTGGTCTTTAACAAATTATCACTCTCAAAGGTTTTCCTTCTATCAAATCCAAATCCTCACTGTTAGAAGTTCAAGTTCATTTCCTTCTTTTGAGGAGCCAATTACTGAAGATGCGTCAAGAAGGAAAAATTAATGTCAGCATTCAAAAGAAATAACCATATGAAACTAGGTTTATTACGAGATTTTTTAAAAATAGCTCTAGTACAAAAGGCTTAAAAAACAGCAAATTATATTTGGATAAGAGACTTCTTATCTAAACAGTAATCCAATCTCAATTTAAAACTGAAGTAAAGTATTCTCACCATTTGGAGCTGCTGGTAATGAAGGAAATACTTCGTACTTAGGTCTGACATATTAAAAGGTCATGAAAAGCTGTATTTCCACTGTCCTCCTAGAATCTGCCCGAAAAACTTGCAAAGCAAACTGAACATTATGTAATTCCAAGCAGATCTGCCTATTTATCCATATCATGAATCAGGCCCAACTCTCACTGTATTCAGTTTGTCTAAATGTTGTTGTGGCCCCCATCAATGACCTACAAGAGTCCCCGTGACCCTGTAGGCTGCAGTTACCTCCATTAAAACCTTCAAACCAACGACTCAAAGCTCAAAAGAAATCCACTTTTACAAGTACTTCCCAAAGGCAATGAGAAAGGCTTGAAGCTGTTGATTATTTGTTCTTACAACATTTTTTAAACTTTCCTTCCTGCAATTCTGTTGCTCACTTTTAACCCTGTTTCCTATTTCTCTCCATTTCTCGTCTACCAACACCCTAATCCCTAGCAAGAGAGATTAGTTTTTTATTCCCGATCTCTCCCTGCTTCTTTTCTCTTTCGGTAGTGGGCTTCTAGTCAGTTTTACTGACAAGTTTAAAGGTACACAGGCTGTGGAGTGGCAAAAATGCAGAGCGACAGGGAAAGTATGTTCCTTACCCCCTTGACGTAGTTTTGTGAATTATTCTTCTCTTAAGCAAACTGGTACCCACAAAGTAACGACTGGTAAAGATGGGCAAAAACACTTGGTAACTTCTCACACACGACACATTCATATATATTAGCTTCAGCACTTTCACAGAAATCCTATCATGTGAACCGAGGTTAAAAAGATAGATCTATGAATAGAATTCATCCACAAATGGAACCGCTTGTACATTCTTTTGCCAGAAGTAAAACATATTTACAAAAGAAATACAACATTTGCAAGATACTTATATATGCACCAAATAGATAAGACCCAATATTCAAGCCATATTTGAAAATTAATCCAAATTCATTGCAAAGATACACTCATCAGTTTCTTAATATTTTTTAAAAAGCTCATCAGTCTTAAAAAAGTAGAAGGGTTAGAGCTGATTAGTATGATGAAAGTCACTATTAAATTCTCCAGTATATAAACAAATAGCTCATGAAGTCTTTATACCCAAAGAAATCACACACTGCCTGTAAGTAATATCTAATTTTATCAGTACAATTCCCTCTGAAAATAAACATGGGTATTCCATACATATCATTGGCTTTATCCTGTAATGCTGTGTTTTAGAAGTAAGCCTCGTTTCTCAAATCAAATTTTCATAACCTTAGTAGTAGGGGCCTTAAAATCATTTTGTTAGGTTTGACAGTGTGCCAGTGTAGGGCATGGGAGGGGACTCAATCATCAGCTACAGAGACAGTGAGCTTTTATCAACACATTCGAGTCAATGCTGAGCCTGGTGCGCTACTGCAGAGCAATTGAGTGTTTTCCCCACAGGCTGTAACTGATTATTGACTCCCCCCCATTAGCATGCAGGGTGCATACTGAAGGTTCAGATAGAAGACTGAGGGACTCCTATCCCAAGGCCAGTGCTGAAAGACAGCCTATCACTTTGTGTAACTGCGGTCTATGTGTGACAAACCTGACCTACATTTTTCCCTTTCTTTCTCACAAGAGCTTGTCACTGTTTTAAGAAGCTATTTTCTAAAACACATAAAAGAAATGACTTTTAAAACTGCTTAGGAAAGGTGCATTCCTAAAATACCATTTATAGCAATCTTATAAAGAATAGTTTATTCAGGAGACAATCATGAAACCTAGCCTAAAACAAGCCTGAAAGACAGCAGAGTGCTTTATGATGTTATCCCCTATCACACCCTCCTTTTGATGGTCATTTATATAGTACTCATTGTTAAAAATGCTACAATTAAAATTTGAATCAGTACATAATTAAATTTAACAATAAGAAGTTATGAAACATATTAATTAGAAATGTGTAATTAAACATTTTTCATTAGTTAGAAAAAGTAGCTTTCATGGCTTCCAAGAAGCCACATCCTAGTAGTTTTGTTAACTTCTCAATGGATACACAATAATCACCGCTAAGAGAAAGACCTCGTTAAAACAGTGATGGAGCGGGAGAGCAAAGAAGGCTGTAACAACTTGGTACGAAGGCTGCAAAATGCTCCCCAGGAAAGGCTGCAGACTGTGCTTCGAAGAGTTGCCAGCGTATTGTGGCTCCTCGCCCCAAGTACCCACCATGCCGCTGCAGGTCATACTCTTTTTTTGTCTCTTCATTCCCTAGAATTTTCCATGCCTGATCAATTTCGATGAACTTCTGTATACATTCCTCCACTGTTCCTGCTGGCACATCTGCACTTTGTTTATCTGGATGATACTGCCAATCAAAAATAAAGGGGGTGGTGAATAGAGGGGGTTGATGGGGTAGGTTAAAAACAAAAACAAAACAAAACAAAAAACCCAAAACTTGTAAATCTAAGTTTTAGTTAAGAAAGAAGGTGATGAGAAGATGAAAACTAAGATGCCAAGGCAATGAGACAACTGTGTTGGGCACAGGAGACAAGTGCCAGGTTAATTAGACCACTGGAGTATCTCTATAAATCCACCAGTGACATGATCTGTCACAACATGCAAAGACAGCATTTTCTGGATAATTTGCTGATGGAATCACTGGTCTCATGGACAATTTACCTAGAGAGGATAACTAACACAAACAGAAATAGGTACGAGCAGACGAGCAGGACATGACAAAGAAAGGGCACAAACTATGCAGAGTATGAAGCTTTCCTTATATAAGGTGCTTAGCTGTAAAAACCATCACAAATGAACTATACTAGCTTTTTCTTAAGAAAGCAGATTATACAATCATACTTGAAAATAAATACCTTTCATCTTCCAGCTCAGCCCTGAAGATTTTAAAGTTACAAATCCCAAACATAAATTTTTGTTGAAAAATAGTTATTCTAGGGCAGATTGGTAAGAAACACTGTTTTTGTTTTAAAGATTTATTTCAGAGAGAGAGAGCATGTGTGTGCATGCACACGCACACACATACACACACACACACGAGAAGGGGGAGAGCCAGAGGCAGAGGGAGAGGGAGAGAGAACCTTAAGCAGACTCCGGGCCCAGCACAGAACCCCACATGGGGCTCGATCTCAAGACCCTGAGATCATGACCTGAGCCAAAACCAAGAGTGAGACGCTCAACCAAATGAGCCACCCAGGCGCCCTGGTAAGCAACAACTTTAAAGAACTCAACAAAACATTTGGATATAAGTTAATTCATTAGTAAATCTTTCTCACTTGTGTTTTCCAAATCTAAGAAATTTTAAAAAATGTTTTCAATATGCAGTAGTTTGTTTAAAGTATTTGGTCAAGGGGCGCCTGGGTGGCTCAGTAGTTAAGCATCTGCCTTCGGCTCAGGTCATGATCCCAGGGTCCTGGGATCGAGTCCCACACCGGGCTCCCTGCTCCGCGGGAAGCCTGCTTCTCCCTCTCCCACTCCCCCTGCTTGTGTTCCCTCTCTCGCTAGGTCTCTGTCAAATAAATAAATAAAATCTTTAAAAATAAATAAAGTATTTGGTCAAAACGAGAACATTTTATACCAATTCGATTCTCAAATGCTAATGTAAATGTGGCTTACTAGATATCTCACTTATATTATCTCCTTTTTCCCCTATATTCTCCGTGGTTCTTCCTTCTCTTTTTATTTCTTGGTTCTGAAAGAGTCAATGTCATTTGCATTTCAGCAGTCTTTCAACAAATAAGCGAGAAAAGGTTATCTAAATGTAGAGACATTTCACTTAAATAATGTAGGGATCATAGTAGCAGATACTCAAATGTGTCATTTTTTCACTCTCAAGTAAACAAGGAACCACTTGATAGTATTCAACTAGAATTTGCCACCAGTAATTACTCTGAATGCTTTATCAAATATGTTACAGAACATACCTAGTTTAAAAAGTTACCTTACGAATTTCTTTTGAACTAGTAGACTAGTTTTCCTCCTTTAGTGCTTGTCCTTTTTCTTCAAAGTTTTTATAATAAAACAGGCAAAAAAAAAAAAACCCACCATTTTTACATTTCATGACATTAATATGGTTTGCTCACATACTCATCAATTAATAATGGCATAACCACTTAAATTCTTTCACTGACTATTTTACAGACATTAAAAGAACACAAAAAATTGAAAAGTGCAACGTCATGTATTATCCAAGTTGCTAAGGCCAAAGTCACTCAGTGAATTGTGGCAAGTAACACAAAGTAAAGTGACTTCAATCCTCAATCCAGAATTCAGAAAACATGTAAATTTTTTTTTTTTAAAGATTTTATTTATTTATTTGACAGAGAGAGAAATAGCGAGAGCAGGAACACAAGCAGGGGGAGTGGGAGAGGGAGAAGCAGGCTTCCCGCAGAGCAGGGAGCCCGATGTGGGACTCGATCCCAGGACCCTGGGATCATGACCTGAGCCGAAGGCAGACGCTTAACGACTGAGCCACCCAGGCGCCCAAATATGTAAATTTTTAATCATAATGTAGACTACTGGTTTTGACAGTGAATTTGTTTTCATGCTGAACTTCTTCACACTGCTGATGATTCTTGCTAGCAGAGCAAAAGCTACTGTGTTATCTGGTTGCACAGAAGAACATCATGCATGCTGAGAGAAAGATTATAGGGCAAACAAAGAGAATTAGGCTTCCATTTTCCCTCTAGCGAACTATTTCTCTTCCAATGCAAATTTAACAGTTATCAACATTTAAATATTTAAGCAAATTAATATAATGACTGAAGAAAAGAAAGGGAAACTAAGTCTTTACTATTTCATCTTTTTATGGTCATGATTTATCAAATGATGCTCATAAAAGTCATTCCCATACCGAGGTCTAGGCAGTCCCTACATTTGGGTTAATATTTAAGTAACATCCCCACACCAAAAAAGAGTTTGCTACATTAAAGTTCTCTAGCTGACCTATTCTTCTAACACTATGTGAAGAAGATTTCTGTAATAAGCCTTTCCAAGAAAGCCCTACAAAATCAAGAATTAGTTTGTGGCCACCCAAAACTAAAAGCTATCACTAAATTTTACTGAGTCATAGATCAGTTCTACGACAGTCCAAGCATAATTCCATTTCTTACTAACTTGTTATTTTCCTGACTGCTATTTTAAATAAGCAACTCACTATCTGAGGCTTTTAGGTCTAATCTGTTGTGCTATTATTAGAATGCAATAAATTTTATTCTATGATACAGAGTCCAATTAAGAAATGGCAGTTATTAGCAAGAAAATAAATATGTCATTTAGGGTGCTAAAAGCCTCAGTCCAATCTGTTTTGACAGCAAGTTCCAGAACAAAATGAAGGTCTAAAAGAGAATAACACGTTCTGTGGTAGGCTGAAAATGGCACCTAAAGATATCAGGTCCTAATCTCTGGTACCTGTAAAATGTTACCTTATCAGGAAAAAGGATCTTGGAAGATAGAACTTGAAGATCTTTAAATGGAGAGTACTCTGAATTACCAAAGTGGGCCCTAAATTCAATCAAAGTATTCTTATAAGAAAGAGGCAGAGGGAGATTTGACACACAGAAGAGAAGACGGTATGAAGACCACTCAGAGAGACAGAGAGGGATTTGAAATAATGGTATCAAAGATTGGGAGTGATGAGTCCATAAGTCAGGGAATGCTGGCAGCCACCAGCATCTAGAAGAGACAAGGAATGTACTCCTACCCCTAGAGCCTTGACTTTGGTTCAGTGACACTGATTTTGGATTTCTAGACTCCAGAATTGTGGAAGAATACAGTTCTGTTGTTTTAAGCCACCACATTTGTAGTAATTTATTTTGGCAGCTACAAAAAATCATACACTGTGTAAATATATCTATGGTTTATATGGAAATACAAAGGATCTAGAACAGGCAAAAGAATCTTGAAACAGAACAAAGCTGAAGCTACGGTAATCAAGACTGTAGTACTATATCCAAATATATCAGTAGAACAAAGAGTCTAGAAGTAACAGACCATATATATATATATAGATATAGATATATAGATACAGATATAGATATGTATAGTCAATTGATTTTCAGCAAAGGTGTCAATGGAATTCAATAAATTGAATTGAAACAACTAGATGCCATGTGGAAAAATTAACCTCAATCCCTATTTCATTTCATATACAAGAATTAACAGAAGATGAATGAGTCATAGACATAAATGTAAAACACAGAACCATAAAGCTTCTAGAAGGAAATACAAGAGAATATCTTTGCCCCTTGGGGTAGGCAAGGACTGCTTTGACAGAAAACAAACAGCACAAACAATAATGACACAAAATGGATAAACTGAACATCAAAGTTTTAAAACTTTCTGCTCAGCAAAGACACCATTAAGAAAATAGACAAGCCACAGACTGGTTAAAAACAAAACAAAACAAAAACTGACTAAATTATCTAACAAAGCACTTGCATCTAGAATATACAACAATTGGGGAGCCCAGGTGGCTCAGTCAGTTAAGTGTCTGCCTTCGCTCAGGTCATGATCCCAGAGTCCTGGGATGGAGCCCTTGAATCAGGATTCCTGCTTAGTGGGAAGCCTGCCTCTCCCTCTGCCCCTGCTCGTGCTTTCTCTCTCTCAAAATAAATAAAATCCTTAAAAAAGAAATAGAACATACAACAACAACAAAATCCTACAAATCGATGGGAAAAAGACATACTAATTAAAAATCAGGGGGAAAAACACTTTTCAAAGAAGATAGATGAACAGACAGACTATGTGCACATGAACTTGCACTCAAACTTTTTCATTAGTTAACAGGAAAATGTAGATTAAAATTATGACATATCACTAAACACCTAATAGAATGGCTAAAATAAAAAAGACATAACACTAAATGTTGGTGAAGATATGGAATAACTGGAACTCAAATATGGTTCTGGGAGGAAACTATTTGACAATTACTTATAAAGATACACCTATAACCTATTCTGTGGTCAAATAATTTTGGATATTTACTTTTGGATATTTACTTAAGAGAAATGAAATATAAACATATGCTCACTAAAAGATTTACAAAACAATGTACTCACAGCCTTATTTGCAATAGTCAAAAACTGGAACCATAAAGTCTATCAACAGGAGAATGGATAAACGGTAGTATGTCCATACATAAGGAATTCTATTCAACAATAAAAAAGAAAAATCTATGATATACTCAGTGACATACATGAATATCTAAAACGTTACACTGGACAAGAACAAAAGGGTACATACTATTTGATTGCATTGATATGAAATTTAAATTCAGGTAAATCTATAGTGATAGAAATTAAAAGTTGGTTTCCAGGTGAGAATAGGGGGTGGAAATTAACTGCAAAG